TTGATATAGTTAGGACCATGATGAGTTTTAGTAATCTACCCATATCATTCTTGGGTTATGCTCTAAAGACTACAACTCACTCACTTAACTATGTGCCGTCAAAGTTTGTAGATAAGACTCCATATGAACAATGGAGTGGGCGAAAGCCCCTATCTTATCTAAAGATTTGGGTTGCGAAGCTTATGTCAAGAAATTGACTTCAAACAAGCTATGTCTAAAATCTAATAAATGTATCTTTCTAGGGTATCTTAAGGAGACCAAAGGATACTATTTCTACCATCCAGAAGAACGTAAAGTTTTTGTTGCTCGTACTAGTGTCTTCTTAAAGAAGGAATTTCTTCTAAGAGGTACTAGTACAGGAAAAAAAGAACTTGATGAAGTTTTAGTACCACAGGATACATTAGACGAAGGAGGGGATGATGTGCCACAAAAAGTAGTTGAACATTATAAGGAAGTTACTCCACAATCTGTGGATCAAAATGAACCACCTTAAGTAGCATAAAAGTTGCGTAGGTCTAGAAGAGTGAGCTTGAGAGATATGGTTTTCTCGTGACTCAGTATGATGATGTACTGGTCTACCAAGACAATGAACCCAAGACTTACGATGACGCTATATCGGACCTAAATTTTGCTAAATGGCTTGAGGCCATGAAATCTGAGATGGGCTTCATGTACCAGAACCAAGTATGGTCTCTAATGGATCCATTTGAAGGGGTAAAACCCATAGGGTGTAAATGGGTCTTCAAGAAGAAGACTGACATGGGTGGCAAGGTGTATACCTATAAGGCACGACTAGTTGCCAAAGGTTTCAAACAAATTCATGGCATTGACTATGAAGAAACCTTTTCATTGATTGCCATGATTAAGTGTATTTGGATTATGCTTGTGATTACTGCATATCACGACGATAAAATTTGGCAAATGGCTGTCAAAATAGCTTTCCGAAATGAAAAGCTAGGTGAGGATATGTATATTACACAACCGGATGGTTTCGTTCTTGATGGACAAGCTGATAAGATATGCAAGTTGCAAAATCCATTTATGGACTTAAGCAAGCTTCAAGGAGCTAGAACATTCATTTCGATGAAGCTGTAAAATAATTCGATTCATCAAGAATGAAAATGAGCCTTGTGTTTACAAGAAAGTAACTGGGATCGTAGTGGCATTCTTGGTGTTGTATGTCAACGACATACTTCTGATCGGGAATGAAATACCAATCTTGTAGTTTGTAAAAACTTAGTTATCCAAGTGCTTCTCCAAGAAAGACTTAGGAAAAACAGCCTACATCCTTGGAATAAAGATCTATCGTGATAGGTCACGTAGATTACTTGGCCTAAATCAAAGTACGTATATAGACAAGGTATTGCCGAGATTCAATATGGAAGAATCCAAGAAGGGATTTCTTTCGATGTTACATGGTGTTTATCTCTATAAGAATATGTGTCGTAAAACACATGATGAGAGAGATAGAATGAAGAGGATCCCATATGCGTCAATAATTGGATCCATCATATATGCCATGTTATGTACTCGGGTTAATGTCTCATGTGCATTAAGCACTTGTAGTAGATATCAATCAAATCCAGGTGAGCATCACTGGATAGCTGTCAAGAACATTTTTAAGTACCTAAAAAGGACTAAGGATATGTTCTTGGTTTATGGAGGGGAAGATGCGCTCACTGTAAGAGGATACAATGATGCTAATTTTCAATCAGATATAGATGATTATTGCTTATAGTCTAGGTTTGTATTTTGTCTCAATGGAGCTACAATGAGCTGGAAGAGCTCCAAGAAAAGCATTGTAGTGGACTTTATAATAGAAGCCGAGTATATCATATTATTTGACACGGTCTCACCAGCGATCCAAACACATACAGAGTTGATTTCATCTCATCAGAGAAATGGTTGAGAGAAAGGATGTGCAAATTTGCAAAGTACATACTTATGGCAATCTCGTCGATCCACTGACAAAGCTTTTGTGGTAGCAGAAGCATGAAAAGCACTTAAGGTCATTTGGTGTTAAATACATGAATGATTGACTATAGTGTAAGTGGGAGATTGTTAGAGTAGGTGCCCTAGAGCCAATCCATTTTGTAAATATTGACTCTTGTAAATAATGTTTATAATCAATAAAAGACATTTTTCAATATCATAGCATCTGATTATATTTGTATAAGAAAATGATATATGTCTTTAGGATGGTAGAACTTGATGAGGAGTGTTTCAAATCTCAATAATGAGAACCCTATGAGCATAAATGATTGCCATTCTAAAAATGTCTATAGCCCTAGTATTATCCTAACTTAGGGCATAGATAATACGGTAAGACTATCATATTGTTGAACGATCCTATTGAAAGACAGTGACAAATCTCACTTGTAAATGTTGTTTGGTGATGACTTGGTGTGGCACATGGGTGTTTGCTATAGACAAGTTCACTGGACAGACCCACCAAAGGATTCCATATAGATGGTAACCCTAGTGTCTGTGGAATAAATACTCTAATGGATGGTAATACATGTGATCCTTAGACTTGAGATCACCAGAGCGCCTTGTGCACCAATTGGTGTAGTTTGACACTAGCCCAACATAGTTCTATTAATGACTATCAAAACGGTAGTGATTGGCTGTATTGAGAAATGTATTGAGGTTATGGTGGATCAACATAGGATTCACCACTCTCAGGTATGGGAGAAGCTATCTCACTGCACAATTCGGTTAAATTGGCAATGACAATAAATTTGTGGCCACAGTGCATTGAGTTGTTGCTCAATCTAATTTATTATTCCGGTTGTTGGTCCAAAACCGAATACCAATATATTAAGGGTGACATCTGAGGTAGACACTACTTCTGTACCTCAGCCTTGATAAGATACATATGATGAAATAATTTGATTGCACGATAGCCATACCATTTACCGATACCAGTACTTCGCTAATCTGTATGTGTTGGGTAACCATGACGCCCGACTAGAGGCCAATCTTGGTTTGTGTGTAGTGAGACGATTAATTAATGGTTAATCGAGATACTACTCACTGCCAACATATTAAGGAGCCTATGGGTCACACACGTAGGAAGTAGTTTGAGGATTCTGTTTTAAGGAGAATTTTCATCTTTTAAGACGAAAGGGTATATTGGCAATCTTACAGTGCAATTAAATTTGCTGAGGTTGTTACCTGCATTCAATTTTAATGTTGAAATTAAAATTGATGAGATTATACTTAAATATATGTTTCCATATATTTAAATGGATTATTATTATTATTTATATTAATATATATATTTTAATATATTAATATTTGTGGATGTTAATAATAATAATAATAATAATTAGAAAGTAAATACCAATATGGCTTGTTTGGTTGTAAGGATGGATTAGTAATAGAATCCATGGCTATTCTTAAATAGAATAGGGTTTTAATTAGTTACCCTATATATGTGCAACTTAAATTAAAACACATAATCTAATTTTTTCTTTTAAAAAAACCCTAGCCTCCTGTCACTTTGTGAGAATTGTGTTTCAATCCTTATGAAAAATCCAAAGAAGCAATTGAATTAATCTAGCCAATTAATTCAATTGTGATTGTTCCTGCCTTCGTGTGGATATCATAAGTGCAATCCTTTTCTTGGATTATTTGCGACGAATAGTGTTATGAACAGTACCATGAACAATGTTGATGAACAGTACCCAATGAACAATATCAATAAACAGTGTGATAAACAGTATCAATGAATAGTGTTTGTGAACAGTCTTATGAACTGTATTGGTGAACAGTGTTTGTGAATAGTGTGATGAGTAGTATCGGTGAACAGTGCGATGAGCAGTATCGGTTAACAGTAAAGATGGAGCCTCCAAATGTGGGTATGAACTGATCGCTTGTATGGATTTGTAGTTTTTGAATTAAAAGCATGTAAAACATATATTTATCAAACCCTGATCATGGGATTTGAGTAATTGATGAGCCAAAATTTTTGTTTTATCCGCTATCATGGTTCATCGATTACTAACATCAAATCTATTAATTCCACAAATAGCAATAAAATAACCCCTACATGGAAGAGTCAAAACAGAATAAATAACCTAACAGTGTGTACACATACCAAACTAAAAGGATAAGTAAATGAAGGTCAAATAGAATGCTTGTGTGAGAGAAAAGGAGAGCACCTAAAATAGGATTTGACCATCTTCTTGGTTAAGAATTGAAGTGACAAAGTTCCTGCAAAATTAAAGTTTCTTAGTAGACCATCTCGCTTCAGACTCACATTGGTGGCGGCGTAGTCGACCTGGTTTGGCCTGCTTTTGGCTATACATCTTCTAGAATTACTTCACCTCCTGCTTTAAGAGATTCTAAGAATTGATTTGTCCATTGGGATATTACCAAGCTACATGCCAAAACCCTAAAGAGAATCCGTGTGGTTGTCTAATTTGTTTATAGAGGGACCAATAGGGCTCAATTACTAAAGTTTTTGTGATTGATATGTGCCTTGTAGATGCTTTGTAAATCACATTGATGAAATTGCTATTATCCTGTGACCCTAAGGAGGATATGTGGCATACAGAGTTATGAGTTGTGGTCAATTCCTAAACCATCATCAAAGTGATCCTGAAACACTGATGTCCACTAAGAACAACAAACAAATTTCTCAAAGACAGAAGATAAAGAGAAACAAATAACATTGCTTTTACTCAATCAAATGGTTAAGTAACATAAACATGGACTTTTGTTATAAGTTGTAATGTTATTGATTAAATATGAATTTGAGCCACGTTTACATCAGGCACCTAACACATCATCAGCCACTGTGGCCCATTTACTTTATTATAGACTATTTCTTAGCTTCCCCAGACCCGTTTACTTGTGCTTCACTTAATTGGGCTAGATTGATTTTTATTCCCAACATATTATATAGTCATATTGTAGTCTTCTTGACTAATAATATATGGAAAATTGAAAATTAACCTCTCAATTACAATTTCACCATCACTGCTTGCAACAACAATTACTTTAAGGAGAAAAAAATTATTGCATGATTAATACAATACAATAAACTTTCAAGTTCAAGCAAATTAGAACATGGGTTTACTTGGTTTAAACAAAAACCTAGAATGGTATGTTGAAAAAAATATATCTCCAAAGAGAGGATACTGCAACATAGCATATAGAATGGCTGGTACAAACGCAACTACACTAGTAACCATGGTGACACAATTTAATCTATCATGATAAGCTAATAAAAGGGTTGTGCTAAAAGCTACCATCATGGTGATTATGGATATGAAGAGTATAGAGAGTCCAACCATCAATTTAAATGGTAACAACTCAAGAAAATCATCTTCTATATACCGCGATGTAAGGATCGACAAAAACATCAGGATTGAGATAGAAGAGGAGGACAATGCGATTGCATCTGATATGACAAAAACTTGAAACCATGTCTCTTTCAGATGAAGAGGTAATCCTTTACTACTATCGTTACCACCTGGTACACTAAAAACCGTTGCAAAAATTATAGTGGTAATGATTGTTGCAACAAACATACATGAGTTAGAAGTATTCTTCATCCATTGTTCTCCGCTTTTCAATAACTCTTTGTTCTCCTGAGTGAATAACTCTTGAGGTGTTTGGCCATTTGAGTTTTTCTTTTCTAGGAAGGAAGGTTGCACTATTTTTTCTATCTCCTATAGATATCAAACATGTTATATTTCGAAATATGGCAATTAAAATTAGGACAATAATTGACTTTAGAAGATTGAATTACCTTAAACCATAATAATTCTTGCTGCATTTGTAGAGCTGCACCTGATACGATACCAATTCTACTTGGATGTGGTAATTTTGCAGCCAAATGCAATATATTGTTCTGCTGATCCTCATCTTCACAAGTCACAAACAACTCCTTAGTGAAACCTATCTCATATATTAGGTTGAATACGTTGGCATGACGGTATAGAACTGCAATGTGAAATATACTGTAACCATGTTCATCAAGTTGATACATCAAATCAGGATAACGGCCAATGAGCTCAGCCAAAAATTGGGAATTTCCGAATTTTGCAGCCTCAAAAATGAATTTTGAAGGTGTTTGTGTTAGATTTGCTAGCTCCAAGTCATATTGTTTTAACATTTCTTCCCACAGGCATTTGACTAATTGAAGAGCTGGATTTGATTCAAAATCCTTGTTGCGATTCAACTTCATTAATCCTGAGACTAAGAATCAAAGCATGCAATAAATTCTGTACTAATTAATTTAATGGTTGACTAAAATCATGGATAAAAAGTAGTTAAGTGTTGAAGAAATTAACATGAGTTGATAAGCCTCCTGAATAGACCTTGATTTTTGTTGGAAAATATTGAAGGTTTTCGGGCCAAAACATGTAAGGCAGTCTCACAATTTATATCACGTGCCACAGCTAATTCTGGATCATCCTTTAGCATTTTTAATGCGAGATCTGAGCAATTAAATAAAGAATTGTAAGCCAAAAAATTTAAAGCATGTTAATATTTAACTTGCTTCTTTAAATCTGTCTAAATTTTCTTTACTATTTTAAGTTTTTTTAACCTTGCTAGAAAGTTACATACTATTATTTTAAAAATTCCCTAAAGTCATGGTAGGGCAGTTGGCTTTTTAATTTTTTGAAATAAGAAAACATGTCAAGAAATATTGCTATAGTATATATTTATACTTATATTATTGATGGTTATATATATTCATAAGAATAATGATATCTATCTTGAACTTTTTGCCTCATGATATGTTAACATATGTTACACTAAGGGTGCGTTTGGTTGGGGGTTAATCCCCATTATTGTGTTTGGTTGGACAATAATACTCTTATATTTAAAACAAATTGTAGGTCACTTAGGACTACCGTCACCTGTCAGCCACTGGCCAAGCACTATTGGTCATCAGTAGCCACCGCCGATGGTCGTCGGAATGGCGTGCAACCAGCTGTGTGTCGATTTGGCTGTTTTTGGCCAGATCCACAACCATCTAGCCGTTTCTAACCATTAATCTGGCTGAAAATAGCTACATTGGCGCACGACCGGTAGATCCTATCGATCTGTGTCGTTCCAGCAGCCGAAGGTGGCTTGGGGTGGGGGTGAATTTGTTACAAATTAAACTTTTATATGACTAGGGTGTTTTAGCAAAATCTCAAATGTAGGGGGTTAAAAATGATTCACATAATAATAATAATAATAATAATAATAATAATAATAATAATAATATTTAAAAAAGATGGCAATTTAGTCATCTATATAGTATGCTCACCAATTTATTATTCCCAACCAAACATATTAATAGAATATATCTACCAATTTATTCCAACCTAATCAAACATATTTTCTTAAATATTCCCTAGCTCAAACACACCATAATATATAAATAAAGTAATACCTGCATGATATGACAATATTACTTATAATGACATGCTACTTAAAGTATGAAATATAAAAGTTTGAGGATAAATACCATTAATCATGTTTTAAACTTATTATAGATCACAATTTAATCCAAAATATCTCGGCTTCCATACCAATCTGTTATTCCCCTGTCAATATTATATAAAAATACATATATATCACTTGTGATGGAGTTTAGTATAAGAGTTAAGATGTGTAGTATATTTTTTTTTAAAGATTGTTTAAGGGCATACGCTAAGAAAATTAGAAAACAAAAAAGTTTGTATTACAATACATTAAAAATTATGTTTTTTTTTTTTTTTTTTTTTTTAATCTTTTCGTAAATAATATATATCGAAATAAGTAAATTTTTTTTATCTTCTTCTGTCTTTAACATGTACACTTAGAGACACACATTAGACAACCTTTTTCTCTTTAAAAAAAAAAAAAAAAAAAAGTTAATGTAATAAAAAGAAGTTAATTGGAATTTATAGTCTTACCATATAAACCATTGCTGAGACAAGTGAAAAATGGAGCAACTTCGTTGTTCCACTTGAAAACATGATTCGCTTGAGATAATTCATCATATAAAAACTATGTCATCTCCGCTTGTGCTAAAAGAGCAGCCAAAAACACAGGCATCATCTTTTCACCACCTCGAATTGTCAAAAGATCGGGATTCTTCTTCAACATAATCCTAGCAATTCCGGCAGCTCCTGCTGCAGCGGCGCAACAAAAGGCCGTGTTTCCTTTTTGGTCCGGCAGAGTCAGGTCTTTCGGTTGCATCAACTTTATCAGCTCCTCTACAAAGCCAGTTTGTTTGGCTCCTGCCGCAATATGAAGAACAGTTTCATGTCCCTTTGTGATACTGGCACATAACATCGTTGGATCTTTTTCTAACAATTTTTTGGCACTTGTCCAGTCACCTTTTAATGCAGCCTTATAAAGAGGCACACAATTGTTGAGATAAAGGTTTGAATTTTCTCCTGCATGTTTAAATTCAATAGATGAAAACAATTAATAAAGTGTTTGACATAAACATGCATGCAAACTTAAAGAGTGGAGATTTGTTCTTAGGTTTAAATAAAACATTCTTTGTAGAAAGAGGAAGAGAAATATTTATTATTTTAATGGACTCATGTATTACTTTCAGCAAACCTCAAGGACGAATATACTATTATCCCTCAAAGAATATGCGAAAGAGCAGGTGAAGGAGAGTGAGCTCACTAGAAAGGAGATGACGGGAAGGTTTCCTTCGTTCATGAGTTGATTCAGTTGAAGTCGCGTTGGGTGTTAAAAGATCAATAACTATTTGATGATCACCCATTTTGCTCTTTAGAAAGAATATCTTTGAAGAGTTGGTTAATTAAGTCCAGAGGACTAGGGTGGTGAATAAATAATAAGCTAAGTCTTCGTCAATTTAAAAGAGATTATTTTTGTGGGGTAGATGAGTCACTTTGTGGAAATTAATGATACTTTAATTGACTCATCACTCAATAGAATCTAGCGCCAGCTGAAGCACTAGCCAAGTGAAGTATTCATCACTATTTGTGAGCAATGGCCTCATCTATGTTACCATCATCACTTAGGTTTAGTGAAAATACTTGAAGCTCAATTCTACATTTGGTGGAAAAAAATACCATTATTATGTTGCTGTCAACTTTGAAGTGGAGCATACTTAAGACTTAGCCACTCATGAGAACAAAAGGAAACCAAATCTTGTAACTTTTGACTTACAACAGTTTGCATTTATTGACCAAGACCTCACTTTTTTTGTTTTTTGGTTTTAAGGAATCGTAAATAAAGAATATATATATATATATATATATACTCAATGTGGAGGTTTTTAGTTTGTAATTTTCTCATCTTCACAGTTTATGAATCAAGACTAAAAAAAACTGTCTGAATATAAAACAAAAGGTTTGAAGAATTTTAGAGATGATATTTACCGTTGGTATTTAAGTATGGTTCTTTCATAACTTTAGTAAAGATGTCTTTACTAGAGAATTATTCAAATATATAATAATAATTATAATAATTCTATCATTAGGATGTCGTGGTATTAACTTGTCTGAATTATGTATAAAAAAATAATTTGATTAAAATTTTGTTAATAATAATAACTTTTGCTTTGACCCCAGAAGAAAAGGCAAGAATCAGATCACATAATTTTTCCTGTTATTTCAACGGAGAAATGGTGGTTACCGATAAATATAAGGAATCAAAGAAATGGATATAAATCAATTGCACTTGTTTGCTTTTATATGTTGCTATAGCCGTATAAGATGTTAACATTGGTCCAAAAGTCATAACTTTTAATACGTATAAAGTAAACTATGAGCCTTACATCTACATTAATTTAATATAACTAGGCATTAACATGATAAAATGTTGACTGATCACTTGGCCAATAATCCTTTTTATAAGCGGCTCTCAAACAATAAGCTATCTAAAAACTATACTCATGACTAGGTATTTATACCATTTATGTTAGGATTAGATGCTTACTATTAGCTTAAAAGCTATAATTTTTAGTAGACAGAACCATTATTTTTTTACTTCTTTTATTATACAATTCGGAATCATTTGATCTCTTAATCTCTGTTGCAAGTTCACCTTATCAAAATTTTTTTTTTTTTTTTTTAATAACTGAGGTGTCTAGCCTAGCTTATGCGCATCTCAACTAGTCCGTATGGGAGAACTATCCCACAATAACCCACCACAATGGCTCTCTAGATAAATTACGGACAAAGGTGCTACTTTTGCACCTAGCGTGGGAATCAAACTTGGGACTGTGGTTGGACTGTTTGTAGCCCCCTTGGTTCGCCTTTACCGCTGGACTACCCACGGATGGGTTACCTTACAAACTTATTGTTTACATTTTTTTGTGTCCACGCCTCGACCACGAGCTTGAAGATTTACATTTCTTTCTATGGGGTTGTTGACGATTGACACCATCTTTTATTGTTTAGGTAGGGTTGTCAGTCGAGCCGAGCTGCTCGAGAGCTGGCTTGACTCGGCTCAGCACAACTCGTTAAATACTCAAGCTCGGCTTCAAATCCTTCAAGTTGAGTCGGCTCACGAGTGGCTCGCTGTAAGGGATGAGTTGACTTCAAGTGTCACCCAACTCGGCTCGACTAGGCTTGCGAGCTTTAACTGGCTTGAATGGGTTTTAGGTTATGTAAATTGACATGTAAAAGTTCGCAAAAACTAAAACTGACCCCCAATTCCAAATTAATTGAATTATCAAAACAGATTTTCAAAATTCGCAAAAGGCTAACCCAATTTCAATTGAAAAAAAACCCTAACCCCTTAATTCGTATTCTCAAGTCACCCTCAACCACCGCCTCAGCCGTTTGATTTTCTATCAGTCATGCTTCTTCTCATAGTGTCCTTTGCATACGACGGCAACTTTTGCTGCAATATACAAAACATTTCATATTCCAGCTCAAAAATCAATCGGTTTTCACCATTACAGGTAAGATTCTTCCTATTATGATTTTTTTTTTTGGTCAATTTTTGTTATTATGTGTGGCTTAGGGTGTATTTTAAATAAAAGTTAAGTTATCTGTTATGAAATTAAATAAAAATTGGTTTTCATTTTTTTTTTCTTCTGATTTTCTAGTTATCTGTTGTGGATTATTGATTGTTGTGTTGATTGGGAGATTTGATTGGAGAAGTTGTTGTTTTGGAGGTGTTGAAATGGATTTGTCGATTGAGTTTTTTTGGTTGTGGAATTCGCCATTTTCACCTTGCCCTAAATTGCCCAGGCTACTCTCAACAATTGTTGGTTTTGGACATTGATGTGTTGGCTCAAACTCGTTTACACGAGCTCGAGCTCGACTTCAAGCCAACTCGTGTAGAAACAAGTCGAGTCTCGAACTCGATTTTCCTGACTTGTTAGGCTCAACACTTGACTTGAACTCGCCAATGTCCAAAAACGAGTCACGCTCGTTTACCCCAAAACTCGACTTGACTTGACTATTTTACAATCATTGTTCTAGGCTACTGTTTTTGGGCTAATGTGTCTACTTTATTTGTGTACATATTGAAAAATGATTTTTTAGTCCCTAATATTTTCCTTTTTAAACCCTTTTCTAGTTTGGGTAAGAATATAACTATGATAAATAGAATAATACTACACTTTCAAAGACTCTATACAAAGTTTTTCATACAAAATGACGTATGAAAAATATGATTGGCTGAATTAATATAAATATTATTCACTGTCATTTAATATGGATTTATTAAGTTGATTTTTATATTTATTTATCCATCCAATCATATTTTGACATGTCACTTGATGAGAATGCAAAATGTCATATTTACCCCCCCTTAATGTCTAGTCTTTTATACTTATTTGTTGCCTAAATGTACTCATTATTATTCTATTTTGATTTAGGATGCAAATGGAGGCGTTAAATGCAAAACGGAACTAATTAGGTGAATTCGGAGAGTTTCGACATCGCTTCATAATCTGAGCATAACTCTCTCATCCGAGCTCCGATTGAGACGATTCAAAATTCTATGGAACTAGAAGAAACAGATCTAAAACTTTAATGTTTTAAGTTTGGAGAGATACTCGCTGAATCAAGGTTATAATCGGGCTTGAAGTTAACTCACCTGCACTGTCGACGTTCTGGAACATTCCGCCTTGTCATGCAATAAAGAGGCAGTTTATTATTGGAAGATTTGAAGACTTGTTGCACGCAAGTTACAGCTAGACACACCACTTTCCTATTTTATTTTAGGACTTTATTTTATTTTCAATTAATTAGAATCAGATTAGGATAAATGTTATTTTAGGATATTAGAATATTTTGAGGAGATTTAGTAGAATTCAAATACTTGAATGGGATATGTTTAAAAGGAGAGAGAGAGATCAGATTGAGAGATGACACACACGCCTCTCTTTCTATCTTTCTTCTTCGTTTTCTTTTGAGTTTTTCATGGCCATGAGCGGCTAAACTTTCATAATTTGGTCGAAGGAAACGGAGACCTCAAAATCAATAAAACTGTGAGATCTATCTGTTTTTACTGTTCAATTTATGTTTTGAGTATTGGATGTTCTTCTATGCATATTGTCATGATTGTTGCGTTTAATTACTAGGAGGCCTACTAGTTTATTATTTGTTGCAATCTACTGCTAAGTTAGATATCAAATCCGTAATTGTTTGATCTCTTTAACTTGTGAAGCAATTAGGGTTTAAGAATTTGTTTTGCGTCAGGAATTGTTAAGTCTTAAGAAGAACATTTGACTGAATTAAATACAACCGCTTGTCTTTGTGTTGTTTAGCTTCATCGATCTCTCTAGGTCTTAAGCGGCCACTAGATTAAATCTTTAGCACTTGTCTAGGGTTGTTTAGTAGTAAGATTAATTAGATCGCTTGTTTCCTAATTAATTACAACTAAGGAGAGATGGAAAATAGTTCCAACGGTGAATACTCAAAGTAAGAAGGATTTATTTTTTCATCAATGATCAGTTGTAAGATTCTGAGGGTGGTGTTGACTTAGACAAGTTTCGTTATTTTGATTGATTTCGGTAATTTAGGTTGAATATCTTTTCCTGAAATTGTTTCTATTTTACTAAAATCCCCCCCATACTGGTTCACGTAACATAAAACTCGGCTAGACACTCTCCGTGGGAACGATCCCTACTCACACTACTACGTGTATTTTTAGGGTTTTAATTATGGGTGCCTACAACAGCACGCCAGATTTTGGCACCGTTGCCGGGAGTGTTTCTAGTTGATTTTTTTTTTTTTTTTTTTTTTGTGATTCTTATTTCGTTCTTGTTGTTTTTTTTTTTAATTTTTATTTTGCAGAAAAAAAGAAGAAAAAAAAACTGTGAACAGTAGTACTATTCTGGATGAACAGTAGTACTATTCATAAGAAAAATTTTGGTTGAATTAGGAGTGCTGCAAGTACCCGTTTCGAAGAAAACAAAATTCTGAGCAAGACTAGAAAAAGCCCCACCCTGTTGAGGCCAGAAAACAACGTTTTGATAGAGTTTTTGGCTTTTTTGTGTTTCTATCATTAAAAAGAAAAAAAAATTAATTAATTTTTTTTTAATTTTCTGGTTGGTTTTTTATTATTTGTCATTTATTTCTTGTATGAAATTTTCTGTGTTTTATCCTCTTATCTTGGTGATTTAACATTCGACCCATAATTAGAGAGCACTTTGCACAGGTTAAGGAAGGAACTCGGAGAAATTCTGAGGAAAGCAATTTGGTTTTTGATTCCCAATTTGCTAGCAACTCTAATTTAGAAGAGGAGGACATCATGGTTGCAAATCGAACTTTGAAAGAGCTTGATGCCCTTGATTTGAATGAAGCACCTTTATGTATAACGTTTCCTATTTTAGATGCTGCTACTACTTTTGAATTAAAATCTGGACTAATACATCTCTTGTCCACTTTTCATGGCCTTGCA